AGATATGTCACATGTAGCACCAGGGTCTCGGAGGAACGCTGTCTCATTTCACTCTGTACTGTACCACTGTATGGTTGAAATGACAATAAAAAGAAATGCAGCAATCATAAAGCATATCTGTGGTAACACCCAGAGAGGAGGAAATGAAAGAAAACACGTTACTCTCCCTCTTGCAAAAAGAACTTAGAAGGATGTAGTTCAGGTATATTCCTAAATTTTTATGCTTTTGTTTTTCTGATGTTAGTGTATTTGATATACACTCAACATAAGGTTGTAGCCAAACAATGCAAGATTTAGAGGAATGACACAGCATGAAACTGCAGTAATAAATTCAAAGTTTAGCCAATAAATTATATTCCGGTTATCCAACCTGTTTTCACAACAATGCAATAAGATAACACTGTACCAAAAGTACCGGTAATGTGTTGTGACAAAGCCTGCTAAATTTACTCACCACATTGCCAAATATATACTGTCAAGGCAAAAGTGACAGTTCACCAAGCAAACAGACTCAGAGATGTTCTTTTGGAAAGTTTTCTAAAATGGATGACTCAGCTTTTCTTGTGCTCTTCTGAATAGAGACCTCTGACGTTGTGCCTGGAATCTGCTGGAGCTAGTCCCTCAAGTTTAATGGTCACAGGTCACAGTATTCCTTTTACCTCTGGTACCACTGTGGACCCACATCTTCTACAATGTGCTGGATAGTCTCCAGGACATCTTTGCACAGTCAGCCTATTTAGTTCTGTCAGTTGTGTTAGACTCCTGCCTCCATGGGTCTGGTGCTTAGGGCCCATCGTTGTGCTGCCGTGATTAGTGCCTCTGTGCTGTCCTTTAGGCCAACCTTTTTTAGCCACTGCTTGGATTTCCTGATGTCAGCTACATCCTATGTTATCATTGGTACATCATATCCAGGGACTTGATCATCCATGATTGTTTCTCCTCATGTTCCTCATCACTATTTGCCTTCAGCCACCTAAAGTAATTTTGGAGAAAAATTCTCAGGGAACCAGATGAACTTCTCTAAGAACTTCTCCATCATCCTGATCATAGAGCCTCAAGGTGCTGGACTTCAGCTGGACACCCCAGTTGTGTCCAGTCCCATTGTGCCCATTGTGAGGAGTTTTTGTGTGTTGACATCAGTGACATATATCCTCTTCTGTGCCCATCTCTGACCATTAGGATGTATGTATTGAAGGCTTGGATCTAATCTCTACCATTCCACTGACTTCTCAACCATTGCCTAATACATTTTGGAAGTATTTTGTTGTGGTTGTGGTGTTTTTCCAGACTTGTGCTGTCAGGCCTTCATTGAATAATATTACTGTAGCTTCTTCATGCCTGAAAGTCAGTGTTAGATATCTGCCTTTGTGATGTTCTGATTGTAAAACTTGTTATTTTTGACATTTTTCCTAGATTCAACTAAAGAAATGGGAAGAAATTATGGGTTTGTGACTAAGTGTCTAAAAGTAGAATTTCTGATTGGTTCTTTGCTAAGTTAGGTGCCTCATAATGCTGAATGGTTTTTAATTCAGTGGATTAAAAAGTAAACACTCCTTTTAAAAAAAAGGCCAGGTACAAGGATTGAAGAGCTCTAAAAGACTTTCAGAAAGCCTGGACCAAGACCACTTTTTAAAAAAGGACAAGACAGTTTGACTTCTTTGGAAACAAACTATAAAGACGTGAGGGATGACTCAAGATGTTTGCACAGTACTGTCTACACGGCATAGATTACAATGGTTTTTTCTATTGTACTTACACCAGTAACAGGCTGACAGCAACTTTTACTGCTTGTCTTTGCCCTTGTTTCAAAAGCCCCACCTATTTGAGCAATGATAATTACTGAATTATCTTAGTGTGTGACAGCAGGGAAGACTCATCTACTAGTGTCAGAAAACATCTGACATAATAAAAAGCTTATCATTGTGCTGCCATCAGAAGTTAAATTAGGTATATTTCATAATTCATACTCTATCTTCTATGTAATCACGTTCAAAGTGTCAATCACAGGACTAATGTTTTAGATTCACGAGGGCTAGAAAAGATAAGATAAATATAATATTAGCTGAGAACAGAAATATATAGTTGGATGTTGCATTATTGTGTCACTACCCATCTGCAGGCTTGTTGAGAGAAACCAAAAGGTCCAGGTATTTCTTGCTGAATATTTTTTAATGCAGAGGTTATTTAGAGAAGAAGGAACCAGAATTAAAAGACTCCTGTGAGGCAGTGCCATCTAGTGCTTTGAGGAGTGCACTTTAAACATCTTCAATTTCACGCAGCTTTTGACTAGTCCATGCATTAATACAAATAAAAACCAAACAAAAAAATAATACATGCAAACAACAACAACAAAATCTAACCTATTCTTTGAACTCTATTTGACCGCTTCCTCACTTGTTTCAGGGAACTTCCACCTGCTGCTGAGTTCATCATCACGTAAATTCCAGTATTAAACAACATCAGTTGTGAAATCAAAGTGTGACTGTAATCTGCACTGTTTTAACAGATTTAGTAAATGATTTAAAACTTCCTCCCAGTAACTCACAGCTGTTATAAAAACAAAGAAAGTAAAGCAACCCTACAGCAGAGTCAAACATGGCGAGTGTTACTGTGACATCCTGTTGGAAGAGTCTTCTGCTGGTGGCACTTATGGGTGAGAACATTTCATTTGTGTTCACTGTTATTATTCTTTTAAATGCTGACTATGAACATGAATGACAATAGTAACAAAGTAAGTGATACAACAGTTAATAAGAGGCTCAAGAATAAGGGTCTCTGTGCTTTGATTCAGGTTTTATTTTAGCAGATGTTTATCACATTTATCCCTACATCTTCTGAGTGTAAAGATTTTTCCTCGTGATTTAAGAATACATGGAAGGAATTAACTGAGTAAGGATTAAAAAGTAGCTTTTTCTTTATATTATGTGATCCTGTTTGTGAGGTTGTTGTGCCCAAACTGTGCAACAGCCTTCCTCGGTCACTCAGGTCGGCTGACTACGTTAATTCATTTAAGTGACTGCTGAAAGACAGTTGCTTCTTTAACTTCTGTTTTCTTAAATGTAAATTATCATTATTATTTGTATGTTAGCAAAGTTTATATTTGACCATACATCTGTGGACAGCTTTGAGTACCTGCTGATACTAATATATGTCTTACATCATCTTTTTCTCACACTTAAGTTTGTCTGGACACATGTCTGAACTCCTTTTAAGTTAACAAGTAGCTTGATGTTATACGGAGCCCCCCAGGGGACATGGGAGAAAAAAAAATTAGGGAGGAAAAAAAAAATAAGACGGACTTTTGCGAGATCTCGCAAAAGTATTGCGAGCGCTCGCAAAAGTATTGCGAGATCTCGCAAAAGTATTGCGAGCGCTCGCAAAAGTATTGCGAGATCTCGCAATAAGTATTGCGAGCGCTCGCAAAAGTATTGCGAGATCTCGCAAAAGTTTTAGCCGCATTCTTCGGAGGCCGCCAGCTCGAAGCCGACCGGGAGGTCGAGGCACGATGTGCCGGGAAAGCGGTGTTCCTCCCGGCTGTAGTAGGTCTCGACCTCCCGTTAGCTTCGAGCTAGTGGGTGTCAGATCTCCAAAAACCTCGGAGCTCTTTTGCAAATATGTGATGTCTTGTAAACCGAGCAGGTATCTGACGTTTACACAACTACATTCACGCCTCAAAATATCTTAAAAGTGTATTTTGTGACCCAGAAAGAGTAATATTACAACTAAGTAGCTGCCGCCATTGTTGGAGTTTTGCGAGATCTCGCAATACTTTTGCGAGCGCTCGCAATACTTATTGCGAGATCTCGCAATACTTTTGGAGCGCCGCATATGAGATCTCGCAATACTTTTGGAGCGCTCGCAATACTTTTGCGAGATCTCGCAAAAGTCCGTCTTATTTTTTTTTTCCTCCCTAATTTTTTTTTTTTCCTCCCCTAATTTTTTTTTCTCCCATGTCCCCTGGGGGGCTTCCGTAGATATCCTATTATGGAGTAATGGATTATATATTATTTAATTCTCAGATTAAGTTATTTTGTGCTTTTAACTAGTATTGTACCAGTATTGACACAGAGTGGCTTTTACTGGTATGTGTTACAGCCATCCTGACTGCTCTGTCCCTCAGGTTTACCATGTTTGGGGACCAAGGTGCAGATTTCTTGGACTGGCAGGGTGACAGCTGGTTCCCCCACTACTTTCACATGCTCATCTAATTGTTTTCCAAACTGCATCTACACCTGGTCCTTTAAGGCCAGCACAGTCAACGGGAGCACTATTAACTTGGACACCAGATGGACTGGATGATACAGTGAAACTGCAATGCACTGTCTTCAATCCACAGACAGGAGTCTACACAAGTACTGACACCATTGTAGAAATTACAAGTGAGTACATCAAGTTAAATGTCACATTAAATAGTGGAAAGTAACAAAGGTACCTTTTATTCTGTACTTCTAAAATGTTTGCCTTGATGACAGGAACAAGGTGAGTGTATGAGTTACACATAATTAGGACACACTACATGGACAAAACTACTTTGCTACCTACAGATTACACCTACCCTGTCATGAGGCCCTGGGCACGCAGTTTTTCAGCTGATGCTAATGCCTAAGGACGTTTAAAACGCTGCAGTTATTGAGTCAGGAGGGAATATCTAAGAGGAAGGAAATTCCACATACTGATTTTTATCAATGGTGGCATGTTATTACATCTCATTCAAATTCAGTGATGTTTATAGAACAACACATTCTTTCACAAATATTTGTAAAGGCAGACTGCATGGCTAGGTGCTTGACTTTACACACCTGGGACAACTGAATGCAAAGATTAAGAGGTGTGGCTTAACACTACTGCCCATATTTTTATTCTCACTTTATGAATTAAAAACTTATTTTTTCTTTTTGTACAGATCCAATATCTGTACAAGTCAGTCCGCTGAACACTGTACCATCTCTCAACCAGTCATTAAATCTCATCTGCCATGATGCCAGATTTGGTGATCCACAAGGTCTATCAGACCTGGTCTGGTATAAAGATGGACAAGAGGTGACCCTGCGTGAAAATATGTGGCTTCAGCAAAACAACCTCACACTTCAATTTGACTCCCTGCTGCCCTCTGATGCTGGTTTCTACCAGTGTCAAACGTATCTGCCTACATCACAGACAACAGTTGTCAGCCTGGGCTATCTACTCAGCTGTAAGTACAAGGATACAGAGGTTAAACCAGAACGAGAAAGGCTGTGTTTTGTCATAACTGCAACAAGCTTTCTAATCTTTTGCAGATGATCAGTGGAACGTCAGCATTAGCGGACCTGACACTGTGTTTCCTGGTCAGTTAAGTGAGTTCACCTGCCTGACCAGCTGCACCTTAAATGTGGAATGCACCGTCAGGTGGGAGTTCAGGGGAGGTTTCCCTGTTGGAACCTACTTTTCAGTTCATAAAAATGAGGTCA